ATGCAAGGTGGCCCCTAGCTCCAACGGTCTCCAGAGGAGACATCATCCAGGCTGCTGGTCCTGAGCTTCGTGCTGGGCTACAGCTCCCCGTCCTCCCCACTACCCAGCCCCGCCCCACGCATGACACTGAGGCCTGGGCAGCAGTCAACAAGAACTGCAGGCTGCACCAGGGGCAAGGACCCCAGCCAACCCACAGGGGGCACTACCATGCCCTGTGCCACATTCCACCAGCCACCAATGCACCAGCCCTTTTCCTTAGCTGTCCCCCTAGCCCCCAGCATCCCAATTCCACTTGTCCTAGAACAAGCTCCCCCCAAGGGAACTTGCCCTGTGCTGGGCTGGACTGCTTTGGCACGAGCGCTAAGGACTTAAGACCAAGCGAGGCACTGTTTTAGCGTCCGAGCTCTTTCCTCTGGCACTTGAGGAGACCACAGCAACTGGGCTCCGATGAAAGGCTGGCTCTCTTCCTCTCTCATAATTGCTAATTTATAATTTATACCCTCAACCGCTTCTAACAGAGATTTCTTAAACAGTAAAATGAAAATCAGAAGTCACTTAGGGAATAGTGAGCTAGACACGCCAGAAAGTTGAAATGAACACTTAGGGCCATTGAATAATACAGCGACAGAACCTTACAACACATTAAAACAGCTGAAAAAAATTGGAGTATGAGCTTCCTAGCAGCAGAGGCAAAAAGGGAAATAACTGAAGAAGGAAGGATGGGAAAAACTATTTTGAGAATGTTTCTGCTCACATGAAAATTCCCTTTAATTCCATTTTCCCAAGAGCTTTTACAAGTTTCCTCCCGTGTCCCCCACGTGGACATTGCTTCCTGACACTTTGGTCAGCTCTTCCTTTATTTCTCCCCGACCCACCGGAGCAGAAAGACCCCTCCCTCTGTCGGGATACCCAGAATGCCTTGCAACAGGGTCAGTCCAGGAGAGAATTCAGCCAGAAGAGCTGAGCCCACACTGGCCCTGAAGGCCTTTCCTATGTAGGATTCAATGGCTACTCCACAGATGCAACTGCTGAAGACAGCCTTAGCTCCAGGATGGGGAGGGTTTCAGGCCCCGGCTTTAGTGAGGTCCTTCTAACACCCACCTGCGGAAGACCCGGGATTCAGAGCAAGCCTGCTTGTCTTCATTCCTCAGATGGAAAATCATTGGTGCAAGCTCACCCAGGCCCTTACAGGGAAGACTGAGGCTTCCAGCAGGCCGTAGATGGAAACCAGCTCCCCCTCCCCACCCCACTGAGTTACCATGACAACCAAGGCTCCACCACCGGCAGCCCTTGGGAATTTGCATTTTAATGACGACGTAATTAGAATCAAAGGGTTCAGGCCTGGGAGCCGGATCCCAGACCCCTCCCCAAGGAGGCAGGAGAGTCCATGCCCGCTCTCCCATCCCTGAGCAACACCTACCCCAGTGCTCAGTCCACTGCGTGGCCCAGCACAGGGAAGGTCAAGTGCCAGGAGCGGGCTCCGCCGTCCACTCTGCCCATAAACCCTTCGGATGCCCTCTCCACTGGGAAGTCCTCTGGTCTGAGTTTGCTGGGAGAGGGCATGGTCATTGGCTCACTGAGGCCTCGCCCCGCCCTGCTGGGGCCATCAGCATGTACCCTTCCTCCTCAGCCCCTCGCACAGCAGTAGCCATGGGGTCTTTGCAGGAGGTGCCCACGGGCACGCAGCCACATAAAGCAGGGGAGCATCTGCAGAGTGGCTGAAGGGGCAAAGTAGGGAGCCCATCAGTGGCTGTCAGAGGGAAAGGGGGCAGTCCAGGGAGACACACACATCCCCCTCCCTCTGCTGGCCAGAGTCCAGGAGCTTGAGGTGGGGTAGGGCTGACCGCAGATGAGATGGGCCCCAGCAGGGCAAGGGGGGCCCCAGGAATGCCCACACATGTGCACACACACAGGCGCTCACACACACACCTGCTCTGGCTCTATTTGGGCTGAGCCCAAAGCACCTCCCTCCCTCGGTGCTGATGCTGTGAGGAAGCCAGCAAGGAACTAGGACGCCGGCTGAGGATGACAGGGACTGGGGGTGGAGGGAGGCACCTCTTCAGGAGGTACCCAGGGAAGGGACAGGGTGGGAGTCAGGCAGGGAGCCCTGACCAACCCAGGGACAGCCCCCAACCCTGCCCAGACACCTGCCTGAGGCCACTACACCAGCCAAGCCTGGCAAGGCTACTTGGCCCCGCAGCGACTACCCCTGCCTTCCTAGTTCTCGCCCAGGTGGGGGACGTGCTGTGATGTTGCGGCTGCCCACAGCCCCAGGGTACACACCCACATGTCGTTCTGGGTGTTTTGTGGCTTGTTGTTCACCAGCTGGCATCTCACACCCACTCAGGGAGCTACCTCCAAGTCCCATTTCAAAGATGAGGACACTGATAGAGAGCTGCCCAGGGTCACTCAGTCCCCACATCCAACAGACTCCTCAACAGTAAGCACTCAACTGCAACTTGCATGCCTTTCAGAAAACCTGGCCTCTGGGCAGCCAGAAGGGTGGCCTGCCTCAGTTTCCCTGTCTGTTCATGCAGGCCAGGCTGGGCAGGGAAAATCGTGTGGGCAGGGACAGCAGGGCAGCCAGCCAAGGCCAGAGGCATCTGGCCCTTCCCCTCCCACCCTACTCCTAATCAGGGCAGCCAGCAGCCAGCTTCAAGTCGAACAGCATCCTGTAGCGACATCTAGTGGCAGGGGCTGCCCAGAGCTACCCACTCGCTGGAGCTTGGCAGCCATCCTGCCCACTGGGTGGGCAAGGAACCACCCAGCCCGAGACTCCCTTCTCGGAGAACACTGGACAACAGAGAATTCCTCCAGCTTGGGGGCCGGGTGCTGCCTGACTGGAGTCTCAGCCTCCTGGACACACACAGGCAGGTGCCACGGGCTCCTGGGCGGTGGGGTGGGGCCTCGCGCCTTGTGGAGCTCACTCTATGTCAGAAACAGAATAGGAAACAAAGCAGACTCCTTGATCTCGCGGAGCTGGTATGGCACGGGTGCCAGGCACCATCAACAGGATCAAAAGCTGGACAGGGCACCTATCTGACCTTGCCATGGGCTCCACAAGCATCCCCAATCCCTCTCGCCTTGCCCCTAGGTCTTGCCTAGCCTTCAGAGTGCTTCCTGTGTCACAGAGATGGGTTCTCCCTGCAACAGTGACAGTCTCCTGTGTAGGACACTGACCCCCTCCCAAAGCCTTCCCGGTCCCTGGCTGGCAGGTGGGGTGCCCCACACCTGTGCAGGCCACATTTTCTCACTCTTTTTATTTATTTTCTTATTTAAAAGCATACTTAGGGCCTGGCATAGTAAACCAGTGGCTAAAGTCCTCACCTTACATGTGCCAGAATTCCCATATGGGCACCGGTTTGTATACTGGCAGCCCCGCTTCCCATCCAGCTCCCTGCTTGTGGCCTGGGAAAGCAGTCAAGGACAGCCCAAAGCCTCGGGACTCTGCACCTGTGTGGGAGACCCGGAGGAAGCTCCAGGCTCCTGGCTTCAGATCACTGCAGCACCAGCCGTTGCAGCCACTTGGGAAGTGAATCAGCGGACAGAAGATCTTCCTCTCTATCTCTCCTCCTCTCTGTATATGTGACTTTAGGATAAAAATAAGCATTTTTTTAAATCTTCTCATAAAAAAAAAAAAACAGCAAATTTACAGACAGGAGAGACAAATCTTTCACTTCCCAAGTGGTCGCAACAGCCAGAGCTGGGCCAGGTCAAAGCCAGGAGCCGTGGGCTTCCTCCAGGTCTACCACATGGGTGCAGGGTCCCAAGGACTTGAGCCATCTTACGCTGCTTTAAGGACATTAAGAGCTGGATCTAAACTAGAGTAGCCGGGACACAAACCGGCACCTGTATGGGGTGCTGACTGGGATCCACTGCAGGATTTCAACCCTCGCTGTCATGGTTGTTATTGTTCAAATCTATTTAGCTGTCCATCCCTCCCCCCAAGCAGTCCCAAGTCCTGCCCCTGCACGCCCCCCCCCCCATGGTGTCAGGTGTACGGGAGGCCCTCAGAACAGCTTCACTCAGGGACTCTCACCACCCCATCCCATCTCGAGTGTGTCTGTCAAGCAGGGCGCTGACAGAGCTATGAACAAGTCAGGGGCTTCTGGCAGAAAGCTCTCCTGCTTTGTGGCCTTGAAAGCGCTGGCCACTTAAATCCATACCTGGTCAGTGACACCTCCTGGTATTGACCATGCTACCGATTGAAACTGTGACATCTGAAAAATCTGTATTTGTTCAAAACAACAAACTCATGTCCTGGTAACATACACGACAGACTTCATGAAGACCAAAAGACCAATTGTATTTTTTTTTTTTTACAACAAAAGCATCTCGTTCCACAGTTCTGCAGATATCTTTAACGTGGATCAGATCTCGGGTCATGCGTGACTTGGATGGCAGAAGACAGAAGTCGAGTCCCCGAGTTTCTCACCGTCTCAATCTCCCTCTCCTGGCTTGGTTGCTTTGCAAACCCCCTGCCTTACTGAAGTCAACTCACAAGATGGAGGGAGGGTGGTCCACGCCCCCATGGGGAGCTTGGCAGGTCACATCTACCCACGCCCCCGTGAGCAAGATCTCCAGGCCCGGGGCCCCCAGGCCCGACCACTTCACCCCACCATGACTGCGGCCCTCTCTGCCACAGTACCAGCTCCCACGGAACACTACGACGGACCAGCCGGGGGCCCTCGCGCCCACCCAGCCACAAGAAAGACGTCGGCGGCAGGTGCCGTGCCCGGCTTCCGGGAGAAGGCGGGACCTGGCGCGCCAGGTGAAACCTGACAAGGGATTGGCCCACAAAAGTGTTCTTCTCGGTCTTAGGCCCGCCCCCTAGCTTCCGCTCCTCCTAAGGATCTAGGTAGACATTCTCTCTAACGCATGCGCTCTAAGGTAGCGGGAGTTTCCGCCCGTCGCTCTGGAGCCGTCGGACGAGCGCAGCTCGGGTTTCCGGGGAGGCGGAAGCGGAAGCAGCGCGCGGCGCGTGCGCGGGCTGGGTAGGCATGTCGGCTGCCCTGCTGCGCCGGGGCCTGGAGCTGCTGGCAGCGTCCGAGGGTGAGGCGGGCTTCCCTGGGGGCGGCGAGGGGACCAGAGCCGGAGGTGCCTGAGCGCTTTCTGACCCAGTCCCGCCGCTCGCTTCCTTTCCAGCCCCCCGGGCCGCGACGAGCGGGACGCCGGCGAAACGGGCGCGGAAGGCCAAGGCGAGCCAGACCCCGAAACTGCGGAGCTCGGCCAAGGGGAAGGTCCCCAAGTCTGCCCTGGGTGAGTGCCGGGCTGGGGAGGAGCCGGGAACCGTCGGTGTATGTCAAAGGCCGAGTTAGATCTTCCGTCCGTTGCTTGGCTGCCACGGCCGGAGCTGAGCCGGTCGGAAGCCGGGAGCCTCCTCCGGGTCTCCCACGCGGGTGCAGGGTCCCAAGGCTTTGGGCTGTTCCGCCTACTGCTTTCCCGGGCCACAAGCAGGGAGCTGCGTGGGAAGTGCAGCAGCGGGGTCTGGGACTGGAGCTCGGGTGAGTTAAGGCTCCAGGTGGGGCTTGTAACACACGCTGCAGTCCTGACCAGGGCCCTGCGAGCACCCCCAGCGTTATCACACACCCCACCTTGTGGGCGGTGCTGTCGCAGGCACCTGCCCAGGAAGGAGGTCCCTGCGGGCAGTGGGCAGGGCGCGGGCGGAGCCAGTGAGAGGACCCTGCAGGTGCCGACGAGAAAGTACCAGGCTTTGAAATGGGCCTTGGGGGTGCATAGGGATCCCCCAGAGCACCTCCGAGGGGAGAGCAAAAGGTGTGGAGGCCAGGGCAGCTGCCACTAGGCAAGGACTTCCCCCCACACGCCTGGAGACCCAGCACGGCCTCCCCATTGGCCCCATGGCTGGGCAGGTGCTCGTGCTAGGCCCCTCTGTACACACTGGATCTTCTCAACAGGCACTGCCCTTCTGTGAAGTCAGATGGGCCTGGGCCTCTGGCATTGCCCGGGAAAGCTGCTAACTCTCACACACACACACACCCCTTAGCCCATCTCACCACACCCTGTCACTTGTCTGCCTATCTAAAACCACTGCCCGGGCAGCACAGTTGCCTAGCGGTTGAAATCCTTACCTTGCACACTCCAGGACCCCCTGTGAGCGCTGATTCATATCCCAGCGGCCCCGCTTCCCATCCAGCTCCCTGCCTGTGGCCTGGGAAAGCAGTCAAAGATGGCCCAAAGCCTTGGGACCCTGCACCGGCGTGGGCAACCTGGAAAAACTCCTGGATCCTGGCTCCATATCAGCTCAGCTCCAGCTGTTGCAGCCACTTGGGAAGTGAACCAGTATATGGAAGATTTTCTGTCTATCCTCTCTGTAAATCTGACTTTCCAATGGAAATAAATATTTTTTAAAAAACACTATTTTAAAAGTTATGCCCTGCACCCCTGCATCTGTTTCCTGATCTTTGTGTTTGTGTCCATCGTGACAGAGATCTTTAGCCACTGGTTCCCCCACTCCTGCCACCAAATGCCTGCCACAGCTAGGCTGACCCAAACCGAGGCAGCTCCATCTGGTGTCCCCCACAGGTGGCAGGGAGAGGCCGGGCATGGCCAGGGTGGGCCAGGGTGACCCTCGCACAGGGTCCTGAGGGAAGCTCATCAGAAGTGATGCTCTGCCCACCACCCGCAGCCGAGTACCGGAAGCGGGAGTGTCAGGACCACCTCAAGACAAACCTCAAGTTTATGACCAGTTCAAGGAGCACTGTGGCCGAGGCCGTGACCCAGCAGGTGAGTCAAGAAGACGGGCCATGGGGGTGATGGCCACAGGGGGTGGGACAGTTGGGCCACCCTGTGGGGACGGGGAACTAGTACGCCATGCCCTCAGGACTTCTGGACGTCACTGCACGTCCTGGTCAGTGGAGGTGAGGTGGCCTCATTCCATCACCCCTCCCAGATTCTGCGGCAGAACCGGGGCCGCAAGGCCTGTGACCGGCCAGCAGCCAAGCCCAAGAAGAAGAAGGCCGAAGGCACTGTGTTCACTGAGGAGGACTTCCAGAAGTTCCAGCAGGAATACTTCGGCAGCTAGACGCCCTCAGAGCCTTGTGGGACCAGCTCAGGCGCAGCACCTGCAGTCTCTCGGCCTCCACTGGCCCCAGGATGCTGCCACGCCATGCACAGCATGAGCAGCAGGTAGCCGTGGTGGACCAGCCTAGCTCCTGGGAGCCCCGCAACTGGCGTTTCAGTGGGGGTGGAATAGAGCTGGTGAGTGGGAAGCCCTGGGGATATCCGCGGACTTGAGCCTCATGCCCATACAGAAAGGGACATTTGTGATTGCTCTGTTTGCTTTTGCCCAGGAGGGGCCTCTGGGCTGTTTGCTGAGGAACAAGGCCAGTCCCCATGTCCTCAGCAGCCATGCCCCCAGGAAAGGGAAGTAGGGCTCGAGGGAGTTTCCAGGCTTTAATAAACATGAGCCGGAGTTGTGTGCAGCTGAGCTGCGGATCTGATTCCACGGGCCATCTGCTCTGCGCCAGCGGCCCCACCCCTTCCCTCCTCAGATGGGCCTCCTGCCCTGGCTGTGGCAGCCACTGCAAAGTTGGTGACCTGAAGGGGAAAAAAAAAAAGTAGCTGCCGGGGCCTCACCCCCAGAGGGCAGAGTGGTATCCTGGCCCTCCCAGAAGCCTGGGCTCCATGTGGTCCCCCACGGCCTGGTGGGCTCAGGCTCCTGTCGGCTCCGTTTCTCTGAGCTCACAGCACCGAGGGCCCAACCTGAGGACTCCCTTGGGGTGCTGGCTTCCAGTAGGGGCCAGGACAGGTGGGGGTATGGCTGAGCCTGTCAGCACACCTTAAAGGACCCCTGCAGGTTGAGGCTCCCTAAGGTGGGGGTCACCGCCCCAGCACTTCCTGCTAGCCTGTCCTACTCTTGAGCCAGGTTTCAAGTTCAAGGGGGGTTGAGCCAGGCGGGGGAGGAGGGAAGGCACCATCCATTGCAGAGGGGATGGGCAGGTGCTGTGGAGTTTAAGAGATACAAAGACCTTAGCCTGTTCATTCATCCCCAAAATGCCTGCGGTGGGAGTGGGGTGGAGGGACCAGCGTGATGGCTCAGTTGGCCACTTCTCCACCTGCAGGATCCCATATGTGTCCTGGTTTGTATCCCGGCAGCTCCACTTCCATCCAGCTCTCTGATTATGGCCTGGGAAAGCAAGTAGTAGAGGATGGCCCAAAGCCTTGGGACCCTGCACCTGCAAGGGAGACTCAGAGTAGATTCCTGGCTTCAGATCAGCTCAGTGCTGGTTATTGCAGCCACTTAATGAATGAATCAGCAGTATGGAAGATATTTCTGTCCTTCCTTTCTGTAAACCTAACAAAAAGTGAAGCAGAGGGGGGGGGGCATCAAAACCAGGAACCAGAATCTCAAGCAGGACCACCCACCTGGGTGGCAGGAACCCAAGTACTTGAACATCAACGGGTGCGGGGTGTGTGTGTTCAGGGTCAGAGCTGGCACTGAGACCTGGGCATCCCCAGTGGCGACAGCAAAGGTCCACCTCCTGCTGGCTTGGCAAGCCTCCAGCGGGATCCAGGCGTGGGCGTTCTTGATACGACTCACCTTTTAAATGGCTTAGCAAGAAACCGGCTCAGCTGCTTACCCAAGCAATTTGCGTCATGGAAGGACAAGCTGACCAAGGACACGCCTGCTGCCACATGGCTTAATGGTCTTGTCCCCTCCCTGCTGCCTGCTGAAGAAGCCAGCAGGTATCCCACCTGATTTAGTGGGGCCTGGTGACCCACTAGAACAGCTTAGGGTACATGGGCCAGAGCTGAAGACGGCCGGAAGAGGCCTTCCCCAAGTGAGACCGGGGTGGGTGTGATGCCACTGAACGAGGGGCCCCAGGGTGACCCCAAGGGAGTCCACAGCTGAGCTTCTGTGGCTTTGGGCTGCTTGGTCAACCTCTGAACACACAGCTGGTCAAGAGCAGGCAGGAGTAGGATGACACAGCACCCTGTGGGACCCTGGTGGAGTGGGCTGCAGGCCCCACCTGCTAGGATGCAGGCAGGCATAGGAGCGATCCCCCACCATGGTCTGCTGCTCCCAGGCTCCTGCCATTGCTTGCGTCCCCCACCCACCCCTGCTGAGGTGAGGTGCTGGGGAGCCCCCTCATCTCTGGCTGGGCACTGTCCCTGGAACCTTCCTGTTTTCACACCCCAAGCCCCACCCTGTGGGGTTTGTGGCGCCCAACTCTGCCCTGCCTTTCTGGTCTTTAATTTACTGGCTTCCACTGGCTGTGTCCGGGACCTGAACAGTGTCACTACAGCACAGGTGACACGGCCTTGGGGACCACGGGCCCAGCCTCTGCTCTCAGCCACCTGCAACCTCACCCTAGACAACAGGAAGTGCCCAAGCCAGGGCCTTTTGGCCATACTGGGGCCCCTCCTACCCAAAGCCTTGGTCATGTGCTGTCCCCCTCTGCAGGGTGCCTCCCAGGCCTGGCAGGGGTGGGCCTCCCTCACTGCTGACTGCACAGCCTCAGGCCAGGCCTAAGCTAGGCCTGCCAGGGGTGCCTAAGGAACAGCACACAGCTTGGAGGCAGGGCACAGCCGCATGGGCAACCCCTAAAGCTCCTGGGCTGGGCCTTTGTCCCTGGTCCCCTAGCTGGGTTGGTCAGGTAGCCCTTTTATTTCAGTCAGGGAGGGAGGCTGGGTGTGGCTTCTCCCTTTATCTCCCCCTTCCCCCAGATACAGTAAAAGGAAAAACGTAGAAACAATGGTCTCACCCATTTTCCCCTGGTCCTCGGCTTTTCCCACCCTCGTCGACTATATAAATGTCAAAGAAATGTCACAAAACCAGAGATTATAACCAAGGGGCTGCTCCACTTTCCTTCCAGCTCTGCCTGTGGCCAGGGAAAGCAGTGGTTTAAGGAAGTCCTTGGGCCCCTAACCCCGCATGGCCAGATCCAGCTCCACTGAAGCCACTTTGGGGAGACCTCCCTGCCTTTTAAGTTAAAAATTGTAAAAAGCAAAACCCATTATCAGTGAGAAAGCTGCCAGCCCCTTCCAACCAGATGGCAGTCTCAGTGCCACGCCACCCTGCTAGGTGGGCACTGGGCAGAGGGCACATTGTGAGCCCACAGCATTCTTCTGTGTGGCCTGCCAGCTGAGCCTCACCGGGCAGGGTGCCAAGCAGGTGCAGGGTGCCCTCCACCCAGTGGCTATGCTGGACACTGGAAAGGCAGGCTGAGAACATGGGGCTCAGCTAGTAGGTCACACTGGAACAATGCTGCGAGCTCAGTGTGCCCTCCACCCAGTGCCTCTGGGGACCAGCCTACGCTGGGCAGCGGGGAGGCCGAGAACATGGAACAGTGCTCCACGGACCTTGACTTTGTGCTGTGCCAGGACATGGGGTGACACCTGTGGGTGGACAACCCTGCTGCTGTCCACAAATTGGACTGCAGGCTCCCAGCTGGATGGACCTCCTACACTTTCCCAGCTCTATGTGGTTGGGGTCTCATAGGAGAGTATTAACAAGACAGTGTCACTGAAGTCACTTCACTACAAAATAATTTATTACAACAGCTTCAGCAAGCAACTCCTACGTAGTATGTACAAGCTTAAGGCCCAGCGGGTGGCTAGGGGGCCCGCCTCCTGCCCCGCGCCACGCGCACCTCCTCCATAAGGTCCTTCAGGTACTGGATCTCCTTGGCCAGGGCATCGGCCCTCTCCTTCAGGGCCGCGTTCTTCTTCTCCAGCTCCTTGCACTCCCCCGTCAGGGCCTCCTGCTCGGCCCTCTTCTTCTGCCGGTAGCGCGTGGCTGCCGTCTTGTTCTGCTCCATCTTCTTCAGCCTCTTATCCAGCTTCTCACCCTTCACTTTGGCAGCCACCACCTTCTCTCCAGGCGGGTCATAGGGCTTGGGGCGGGCAGAGGGCAGGCCCTTGTGTGGGGAGCCCCTGGAGGTGGAAGGGCTGTGCGGGGGGGAGCCCGGGCAGGACTCGGGGCTCATGCAGATGCCGCTGTCGTGGTCAGAGGGGCTGTCCTCCTCCTTGACACACGGGGGAACCATGGTGACATAGGCCGGCGAGTCTGGTTTCCGGTCACCCTCGGAGATGTCCACTTCACTGCCTAGCTCTAAACTAAAGGACATGTCAGGTGTGGAGGTGAGGACCCCCAGGGAGAGGGGCAGGGGGTGCAGGAAAGTGAAGGGGGCAACTTGGTCGGCTTGGGGCAAACTCTCTGGGAGATGGCCAGTGGGGTTCAGCGCCTGGGGGGGCTCCTTGCTGCTCTCGGGGCCTAGGGGGCCCAGGAGGTCACACGTGTTGTCCAGCGTGGCCAGCAGCTCCTCGGGCATCATATCCAGGTCATCCAGACTCAACAGGGTGTCGAAGTCAAACTCCTTCAGATCCATTTTCTCTAACATCCAATCCGTCCCGGAGAAGGCATCCTCTGCAAGACAAGGCGTGCCGTCACACCGCAGGCCGCCCCCGCCTCCGGGGGTGCACACCGCAGGCCGCCCCCCGCCCCCGGGGCGCCCACCCGACACCCGCGGCCCGCACCCTTGCCGAAGTCGGAGGCGATGCCCGCGCCGTCCACAGCCAGCCACTCGGAGGAGCCCGCCGCAGCCTTGTCGCCGGGGAACCCATGGGGTCTCAAGTGCTTGGCCACCTCCAAGTAGTCATCTAGCAGACCCAGGCTCTCCTCAGCCCCCAAACCCGATGGGTCGAAGGGGGACATCGAGTCCCCCGTCAACACCTCGCTGTTCAGGAAGCTCATCTCGGCCATGTCGGGGGGCTGGGCTCGACTCGAAGGAGGTGCTTAAATCGAAGGCGAAGTCTTGGTCGCTTACAGCAAAGCTGCTGCTGGATGCCGTGAAAAACCTGCGCGGGGGACAAGGGGGCGCGCCATCAGGGGGCGCGGGGAGCCCCGGGACCGGCCCCCGGGGCCCAAGATGGACGCGCGGTCACCCCGGCCGCGCCCCGCCCCGTGACTCACCCCGCGCCCGCCTCCCCGCGCCATCTTGGCTCCCGCCACGTTTCGGCGGGCGGCCACCGCGGCCCCGCGCCCGGCTCGGGAGAGGACGGCGGGTCCGAGACCGGCCAGCCGCCCCCGACCCCGAGCCCCGGGCAGCAGGCGCAGGCCCGCGCAGGCCCGCACTGCCCCGACCCCATCGCGCCAACGTCCCCGGGGCACGGAAACGGGCCCCGCGTCCCGGGCGCTCGTAAAAACGCTTCCCCTACACACACACGCTCGGGTACGCCGCCCGAGGCCGCAGCCCAAGCCCGAATCCCCGGAGAAGGACCCCGGCCCCGCCCGGTACTCACGCCATGGCTAAAGCCGCTGGGGGTGCCGCTGCAGAGCCTGGTGCTGCTGCCGCCGCTGCAAAAGCCAACGCTGCCGCAGGCACTGCTGCCTCTAATACGCCATGGTGGCCGCGACCCTGCGGGAGGGGAAGAGGGAAGGCGCGAGCGGCGGGGAACTCGTCATCGACAGGACAGAGCCGCAGCAATGGCCGCCTGGCCGCGCGCGCACCTTTTATAGACTCGGCGGCTGCGGGACGCATCACAGGGTGTGTCCTTCCGCCGCGGCCCCGGCGCTGCACCCCCGTGCCCTCTCTGGCGCCTCCCCGGCCGTTCTCAGCCCTCCGACATTTAGGGCCCGGGGCGTAGCTGTGGGCAGATAAATCATTTACCTTCGGGCTCCCATGTCAGAAAAAGGGGCGCACTACTTTACCTGGCGTCCTCGCCTTGCCCGCCCGGAGGCGCGGAGGGATCTCCCAAGGGCGGGGAGTAAAGCGTCTTTCACTCCAAGGAAGGTTTTTATGGTGACGGCTGAGGCCGCCTGGTGATCGCGCGAGATGCCGGCGGGGAGCGCGCGCCGAGCTGATTGGCCCCGACAGGACGAGTCATAGAAACCTCAAGCTCCTATTGGTTCAGGGCCCGAGATGGGCGGTCCGAGCGGCTCCTGCGGCCGTGTCGGGTCAGGGTCCCCCCAGGCCGCGCCCGCGGACCCACCCCTCCGCTGCTCCCCAGACCCGCGAAGCCCACGGCGGGCGGCTGCCCAGGGTGCCCCGGGCAGACGCGCGTCCTTCCTCTGACCTCCGTCCGCTGTGCGAGGCAGGGAAGCGCGTCATCCCGCCTCCCGGGCTGTGGGCTTACAGCACGCGGCCGGCCCCCTGAGAACTCCGGGGTTCGGTAGGGTTCCATCAAGTCCTGGACGGAACCAACTTCGACCCGCCCCGAAAGAACGTGCTGAGGGGTTAGTGTGGCCGTCCTCAGAAGCATAAGCTAGGCACGGGGCACTGGTCTGCGGGCAGAAGGCGGTGACACCGCGCGCTGAGCAGCGTTAAACTACACGCCCTGCCCCGATCCAGGCCCCCGGGCGCTGGTTCAGGTCGCCACTGCTCCACTTCCGATCCCACTCCTAATGGGCCTGGGTCCCTGGACGAGAGCTAAGCTCTTGGACCTTTGGCAAATGACCCAGATGCTAAGGTCTCTAATTTTGCCTTTCAAATAATACCAATTCTTGCGTCATCATTACCCTGCCTTCCCTCGGAGTGATGGCAGTCTGCCTTCCGCCGCGTGAGACCCGGGCAGTGCCTGGCAGCAGTGCCTGGGACACCAAAGAGGGCAGGGAGCCGGTGGCAGTGGCCGCTTGCCAGCTGTTCCACTCTGGGAACCGGGTGGAGCACCTCGGGACACCAGCGACAGTGCCCGTGGGGACGCCGCACACCACACACTGATACACGTTTTTAATTGTCCTCTTCCCATGCTGAGGGAGGACATGGTGTTGTGTTTTACCTCCTCCCTCCCTTGGGGAGAAAGGCAGGTTTCGGGGTTCTGAGGGGCTAAGCTGTATCTGCAGGAAGCCAGCCCAGATGCACAGACCGGCGAGCACTTTCAACCAGCCAACCTGTCCCCCAGCACTGAGGGGCTGGAAGGCAAGCCGTGGACTTGGCCTCAAAGACTACCAGGTGATCAGAAGGGCCAACACCCCCACAAGTGCAGCTGGGGGGACCCCTTCATCTTGTGTTTTCGCAGTCACAGCAAGTAAGATCTAACTGGGCACAGCGCTCCAGACCCCACTCGCAGGACCCCTCGACGCCATCACCTGCACCCACCGCCCAGCACCCCACGCCAGGCCGGGGAGCCAGGCCTCCCACACAGAAGCAATGGGTCATTTCTTTATTTTTTTAAAAATCACAACCAGGCATATACAGAAATACTGTATACTCATGTTTCTGGAAGGGCAACTGGAGAGAACAGAAGGTGCTCAAGGCCATGAGACGTGTGCCCGCGGGCATCAGGCAGGAGTGCGGCTGGCCTGGCCACGCAGGGACATGCTCTCCGGCAGGAGGGACAACAGAGGCGGTCACTTCAGGAACAGAAAGGCAGCATGGCCAGGCAAGCCACTGAACCCCGCAGTACACAGGTGCTGCGCCCTGCACAGCTTCTGCCGGGAGGAGACCCCCAGGGCCTGAGCCCTCTGCTGGTTCCTGGCCTTCCTCGGGAGAAGTGGCCAGGTTCTCTCTCCATGATCAGGCTCAGCGCTCACCTGGAGCCTCGTCCCCTACAGCGAGGAGGCAGCTGAGGTGGCCAGGCTGTGTGGCATCTCTCCTGGCCCTGATGCCGGGCTCCACCTCACTGAGGGAGAGGTAGACAGACGACAGCTTGGTGGCAGGGCAATACTGAAGGGGCAGATCAGCAATGGAAGGGCTTTCAGCCTCTGGCCGACAACCGGACAAAACCCCTGAACCAGAGGGCACTGCAAGCCATAGAGCAGGGCCAGGGGCAGGTGCAAGCCTCAACCCTGAGAGGACGGGCCGAAAGCCGTGTCCCCTCCTACGGCCGCCCTGGGGATGAAATGCTGGCTGCCGCAGGACCTGCTCTCACTCTAAGGCACCATCCTAGGAGACAGGGCGTGTTGGCAGAAAACCTGGCCACCAAGCCCTGACGCGGGCTGCCTCTAGCAGCTGCCTTCTAGCTTCCAGTCTGCGTGGCTATGTGCCTGCAAGGTCTCATCCCAGGTGGCCACAGCAAAGGCCAGAGAGCATTCCAGGCGAGGCACTGCCTCTCCGGACCCTGCGACTTCTGTGGCAACAGGTAAGGCTCACACAGGGACAACCACCCTGCATACCTGCTCATCGCTCGTTGCGGCCACTGGCACGGTCCGAGTAACTGCACTCAGCCACTGTCCACGTGAGAGACAATCTCAGCTCTCACACAAACCTTACTTGGTCAGGGCAGGGGCAGGGTGGGGAAACAGAATTGACTTGTCCAGGAACTGGGGTTCAGAAATTCTACCAGCCTTACTCCCAGAAACCCAAATTCTGTGCCAGCAGCTGCTCTGCAGCATCCAGCTTGGACACAGCCATGGCTCTCTGCGCCATTCAACCACCAGGCAGCGTCTTGATTTGGCAGATCAAAAACAACAAAAGAACAGAAAAGCAAGGCCACTGAACAGGAATGGGCCAAAGAGGAGGGCAGGGCACACAGAAGCCAGATCCCTGGGCCCCAACGCAAAACAGCGTGGTCTCAACAGCTCAGGCCAGCATTCTGCCTTCTCAATTCATTCCAGAACAATCAGCCTGCGGCAAGAGGGGAACAGGGGCCACAGTGTTTGGTAACAAAAATAGAAAGGGTGGGGAAAATAGGAGACCAAAAGGTGTCATTCTAATCAGCATGAAGTGACCAGCGTGGTGCCCAGCGGGCAGGAGGCACCTAGGGACCCAGTGAGGTACCAACTGCACAGCCGAGCATGCAGGCGGCCGGGGCCGGACCCGACATCCGCTTTGGCCTTCCCTGTCCTATGTCTGCAGCAGCACCTCCGGCTCGGACAATGAGGAATAGAGAGTGTATCCCAATTCATCTATTTCCTCGGGGGTGAGCTCTGCAAACAAGTTCACCTTGGGGTTCAGGGCACTGGGCAGAACTCCGGCCTCCAAGTAGCTGATGAGGCCCCTCAGTGCCTGCAGGAAGCGGTCGGCCAGCACGTCTGGGGACCAGTCAGCCTCCTCCTGGGCCAGGTGGAGGATGACGTTGGTGAGCTGGCTGGCAGTGAGCGGGCCCAGGGCCGGAGTGGATTTGCATATGGCCTTCAGGATCTTGAGGCACAGAGACCGACAGCCGGAGTCGGCCTGGTCCAGGGCTCTGAGGCGTGCCGTCTCGGCAGGACGCAGGCTCAGGCGCCACAGGTTGTCATACTGGGCCAGCCGGTGTGGCCTGGCCACCAAGACAGTGTCACCCAGGGTCACCGATGGCAGGAAGTCAATGACGAGCTGCCTGTCCCGCTCATACTGCACCTCAAGCGTCAGGGCCTCGGGGGGCGGCGCAGGCCGAATTACGTAGTCCAGCAGGGAGCCGATGGCCGGCCAATTGATGGAGCCAGCCACCACCTTCTCGAACGTCTCTGCTACCGTCTTGGGGGAGAGGTAGCCTCCGACCACACACCGGTCCCAATAGCTGCTTCCGCGAGGGAAGTACTCCGGGTTCTCACGGCGCACCAGGAAGAAGCCCGGGACGTTCATGATGGTGTCCTCTCCGGGGATGCATGACCACAGGTTCTGCTCCAGCACCAGGGGCACGATGAGCTGGATGTGGTCGGCTGCCACCACCTGCAGGGCACAAGCAGAAGCCATGAGTCCGCGCTGTGCTCAGGAGACAGGCTCCCCTAACCCTAAGGCAGGCCTGCTGTCCTGTGCGCCTCCTGCAAGCAAGGCCCAGGACTCATTCACGGCCCTAGCAAGAAGACCAGGTTTAGAAGGCAGGCTCCTCACAGCTTCGTAAATGTGGAAAGTGAGCTACGAGCAAAAAGAGGCAAAGATGTGCTGAGCACATCTCAACAATGCCACAGGGCGGAAGCACAAAAGCAGTAAATGCCTCAGTGTCTCGGGCAAGCCTGGGAAACTTCTGTCCTAGCAACTACGGAGCAGTGCCTGGCCCATGCTCAGCCCTCCCCTCCAACAAGACCCCTCAGGTCACCTGTAGGTCGTCGTAGAGGCTGCCACTCAGGTACATGTCCCGAAGTGGCATGTCAGGCAGCTTGGCCCGCAGGAAGCTCCGCAGCTCGGCGCATATATCCACGGCAGCTTGCTTGGCTCGGGCCTGCTCGCCAGCAGGGATGGCTGCCCGGTTCCGGTAGTAAGAGAGGAGTTTCTCCTGCAGGGACATGCGGAGCCGTGACTTCTTCAAGTCTACCTGGCCCTTCCTGGCCATCGGCTTAGGCCGGGGTGGGCAGAATGTATCTGCCAAGGCAAGAGAGAGAGGCACATGAGCTCTTCCCACACCGGCTCAGCCCAGGCAGGACAGGTCCCGCGCAGAGGGCAAGTGCTCACCCAGTGGCTGGCACGTGCATTCTGGAAATACCAGGGGCCCAAGGTGCCACAAGGGTGCCCAGCTACCCACTCACCTGAGTCAAAGGCCGCAGAGTCCGTGGGCAGGGTCTGCAGGGAGCGGCTGAGGCCCGTCTTCACGTCCTTGCTGAGCAGCCGCGGGGAGCCCATCCAGTTGGGCTCCTCCCAGCTCCTCTTCCCTGAGTGGCCCAGTCGGGTGGGGCTGGTCGGGGCGCTGATGGCCCGGTCGTACATCTGCGGCGGCACAGGACGTGGCACACGCTTGTCCTCCCAACCACCCGCCTCCCAAGCCTTATCCTGGCAACCTCAACCAGAATCTGTCTTGTTTATTTTCATTTTCTATTCAGAGTGAGACCTTCCATCCATTCCCCAATGCCTGGTTCCCCAAATGCCGCAGCAGCTAAGGTTTAGCAAGAACACAGCCGAGACCCTGGTTCTCTATCCAGGTCCCCCATGAGTGTGGCCCAAACCACTATCCCCCAGCTCCCAGGACACATCAGCCGGAAGTGGGGCCAGAAGATCAGGCACTTCTGTACAAGATTCAGAGGTCCCAAGTGGGGCCTTCACTGCCGTGCCAAAGACACACCCCCGAGTTCTTCTAAATACCTAATATATGTGTGGTTGGTGATGCTATTTTAGATAAGGTAGTCAAGGAATGGCATTTAATTATTTCAAATTTTATACAGGTGAGATACATTTCCATCTTTACTGATTTTTTTAAAAGGTTTATTTGAGGGGCTGGCAGAGTGACTCAACAGGTTAATCCTCCACTTGCGAATGCCAGTATTCCATATGAGCGCTAGTTCCTATCCCAGCTGTGTTACTTTCCATCCAGCTCCCTGCTATGGCCTGGGAAAACAGAGCAGGATGGCCCAAATCCCTGGGACCCTGCACCCACATAGGAGACCTGGAAGAGCTCCTGGCTCCTGGCTTCAGACCAGTCATTACAGCCATGTGGGAAGTGAACCAGCAGAGGGAAGATCTTTGTCTCTCCTCCACTCTATAAATCTTCCTTTCCAATAAAAATCCTTAAAACAAAACAAAACAGGAAAATTGCAAAATAGTTAGAGGGAGAAAGATCTGACAGTTCACTCCCCAAATGGCCACCACAGCTAAGGCTGGCCAGGCAAAAACCAGGAGTCAGGAATTGCGTCTGTGTCTCCCACATGGGTGGCAGCGCGCCACGCACTTGGGCCACCCTTGGCAGTAGGGAGCTGGGTCAGAAGCAGAGGAGCCAGACTCAAACTGGCCCTGTTACTGGAACGCAGGCATCCCAAGCGGCAGTTTCACCCACTGCAACACAACACCCAACCCCGCAATGATTCTTTCTGACTAGAGCCCTAATTCCCCATCAAGCACCTGTCTCATGACAATTCACTGCTGGAAAACACCTGCCACCAGCAGTGTCAGGCCTTGGTCTGGTGCTAACCTCACAGGGCCTCACCCCCATCCCCGGCCCTGCTCACACACGCACTCACCCGCTTCACTGCCAGCGTAGCGATGCCCAGCATGGCGGCTCCCCCGACGCCCAGCACCAACCGTGCGTTGGACAGCACAAAGTCAAGGGCTGTGCCAATGCCATTGTCATCCTTCTTGCCTTTGCGCTCGCCAGCACCTGCCATCGCTCACCTGCAACAGAAGACAGGACACAGCGTCACCACCAGGGACCGAACCTATGCTTCACCTACTCCATCCCCCACAGAACCCCAGCGAGCTCAGGGACCAGGGCGGGTTGGGAGGGTCCACGTCCTCTGGTGCAGCAGATACACAGGGAAGGCACTGACTGCGTATGTAGGAAACCTTCACCACCCACTGGGACAGAAGTATGGGGCTCAGCCCAGTATCCCACATCCCACCAGGCAACCCCTGCTGCCTCCTCCCGTGAGATGCAGAGCGCCCACTGGTCCTTCACATATACCCAAGCAAGGTGACACGTGAGCAGGGCCCTGGGCACACCTCAGCCACTGGCCTCACTGCCCACACAGGGCTGTGCCTTGCCAGATGCTCGGCACAACCCCCTTGAGAAGCCCACATGCTCCTCTTCATAGGTCATGCTCACAGGCCTCTCTCTATCACCTGAACCCAGCGCAGTCCTTGTGTTGGCTTCTGTAAAGCAGACACAGCACAGCAGGGTCATCCTGCCAGCTCCACATGCGGGCCTTCCACAGACCCAGGGAGAAAAGCCCTGAGGAGCACTCTCCTCATGGCCCCCAGCCCCCACAAACACTCAGGGAGACTGAGCACATGGTGACCCCAGCTGTTAACCAGACAGTACATGAGTCTGCTCCAAGGCACTTCCAAGATGAACCGGAAGTGCAGTCACCTGCAGGAGGCTGTGGCTCAGGAAACAGCCACACCAGGAGGTACTCCCTCACCCCCAGGGCCCTTCCAGAGTCCTTCTGAGAGCAAGGTGGTGCTGTGGCCAGAGGGAAAAGAAGCCCTGCAATGAGGTCCAGACTCCTAGTCGGGTGGTCACTTACCCCATTGTGAAAAGGAAGGGCCCAATCGCAGGGCCACGTGGAAGGAAACATGCCTGCCACCGGGTACAGGAACACAGCATGGGCAGTGGGCACTGGGAACGCACTGAGGACTGTCCCCAAGTCCAGAGAGCCCCCACCCCCACCCCCACGGCCTAGGCTGGCTCCTGGAAGCAGCCAGGGTCCACCCCGGCTTCCTGGAACCAGCTCACCTCCAGGGCACATGCTGATGCCACCTTGCACCTGGTCTCACCAACAGCCTCCCGCCATGGCGGCCCCAGGGGCCCGGACAAAGGCAGCTGGTCCACAAGCACCAAGGAACACAAAGGCCCACCCCATTCCAGGTGAGTGTAGCCGGCAGCTAAGAGGTCGCCCAGGATGCCTCGCTCCACACTGCAGTGCCAGGTCAATGCCTGGCTCTGCCCTCAAGGCCAGCTGCCCACCAGTGCACACCCCGGAAGGCAGCAGGAGGTGAGCAGTCCATGGCAGACTCAAGGTGGCCCCAAGCTCCTGGTTTGGCAGGGCCAGTGGCAGCTACGGTGGACGTCTGTCTACGGAGTAAACCAGCAGAGGGGGCTGTCTGCTTGGCTGGCTCTCTAGCTCTCAGATAAATTAAACACACTCACACACACCCCTAACCTGGTTCAGCTGGCCCTGCCTCTCCAAGTGCACCCCTACTCAGCACGCACTAGAAGGTGCTGCGGTCCACAGGAGGGAGGGGCTGGGGGTGCGCGGGGTGCTGAGCAGGGCCCAGTGCTCCCCAGGAACCTGCTAACTCAGTGCCACAGTTTAGGGTTCTGTGAACAGACTCACTTTATACTCATAATGAAGAAAGCAAGCAGAGAAACCAGGAACACAGACCCGGTGGGCCCTCCAGCATCCTGGACCCCTGGCGCTAACCTGTCACCTGAACAGGTTAATAAAAAGCAAGCAGAGACCCATCACCTCACCACACAGTAATGACAAGTCACGAGGCCATTTCTTGGAGCGAAAGGGCCAAACCAGGACATGCAGCTGACTTGGACGGACAGGGCATGCAGGTGAGGAGCCACCACCCACCCAGCAAGCGGGGAGCACAAGCCAACTTTCCCCTGACCTTCGCCTGTCCTCTGGCTGATCTTCATCCTCATCCTCGCCCAGAAAATAGAGTCGTCCTCCTTCCCAGGGCAGGTCCCAGGCTGGACCACCTTGCCCCAAGCCAATCAGTAGGGCGGAAGCATGCCGTGCCTCTTCCCAGCCCTCCCACACTCTACCTAGCCTGAGTGTAAGTCAGAGTCGCAGCTACAGACAGCCCAGGAGGAATCTGAACAGACAGGCTCTGCTCCCGTCCACCCTTCCCTGGGGTCCAAGGCTACCCAGGCACCCTGCAGCCTGAGCAGACAGCCGGAGCGTGCCTTCAGGTTAGAACTCTGATTCGACCCATTTGCTACTAGGTTCTCATAACCAGTCTTCCTCTTAGGGGACGCTGTGAGCAGGACAGGAAGCGCCCCTCTGTCAGCCCCCACCTACAGCTTCCCTCTTCTTCACAACCACAACCCCGTGAGTGAGGTCGGTTACATGCATCCATCGTGTAGACGCAGAAATGAGGCTGGAGTTAGTGAGTGATTCCAGGTGACTCAGGCCACGATGGAAGCCCTCTCGCTGCTGGGAGAACAAATGTCCCCCCAACGAAATGTGAGGTGCCTCCAGACCTGGCCCAGCCACAGCTCCAGCTTCTGCCTTCCAGAGCACCACTCCGCTCAAGTTTCCAGACTACAGCCAGCTTCCACTCCGACCTTCTCATAGCCAGCCAGAGTCCCCGCCCTGACCCAGGCCGAGGGAAGCCGTCCAGCCAAAGCCCCAGTGCGCCACACCCCATTCCTGCGCGTGAGGTCCTGGGGGACGCCTGGGACAGGGCCCAGCAGAAGGCAACTCTGCATGTGCCAGTCACCCCGAGAGGCCCATGGAGCTGAAGACTGAAAATTCGAAATCTAACACGTCTTGAGTGCCAACACGATGCCACAAACAGAAGCTTCCACACCAGGCCTCATCTGGCACACTAAAAAAACATCACATAAACACCACATAAAATTATGTCCAGGCTGTGTACCTACACTATAACAGAAGTGAATTCTGTGTTTTAAATCAGGCCCCCTCCTTCACGTTTCTCACTCACACGTCACGCTGCAAACGCAGACATGGGAGCCAGGTTCAGAGCACTCAAACTGTGCAAACATTCTAAACTCTGAACACAGAAACATTCAAGGACCAAAATGGTTGTGAGGAGAAACACTCAAATCATGCAAAATTTCCACTCTAACAAGCAGGAAGTAGCAGCCCCAACCCCACGCAGGTGGCCGGCGCAGGGACCCGGGCACTGAGGCCTGCCCATTCTGCTGGCTTTGGAGACGATGCCAGGCAGAAGGCAGCTACGCTCTTGGGAGCGCGATCAGACCCCTGACAGCTGATGCTGCTAAAGTGAGCTAGCTGCTGCAGACCTTTCATGCTTTTAATCAGTGCCTTTTCCAAAACTCAGGATCTAGAATGCTTCACGAAATGAAACAGGTGGGGTCTGGCACGGTAGCCTAGTGGCTAAAGTCCTCACCTTGTACATGCCAGGATCCCATATGGGTGCTGGTTCTAATCCCAACCACCCCACCTCCCATCCAGCTTCCTGCTTGTGGCCTGGGAAAGCAGTCGAGGACGGCCCAGAGCCTTGGGACCCTGCACCCACGTGGGAGACCCAAAAGAAGCTCCTGGCTCCCAGCTTTGCATTGGCGCAGCTCCAGCTGTTCCGACCACTTGGGGAGTCAATCATTGGATAGATTTTCCTCTCTGTATATCTAACTTTCCAATAAAAAATAAAATCTAAAACAATAAATAAATAAATAAATCTTAAAAAAAATGTAAACAGATGGCAATTCTGGTCCAATGGGACCTAACACTCAAGGTTTGTTTCTTTCTCAGTAAGAGAAGAAACCCACTTCTGCCAGGGGGTCTAGAACCCCACCCCCAACTTCCAATAGCCTAAAGCAACAGGAAGGGTTCTCCCTTTTCTGGTTCCCAGAATCAGAAGAAAAAAAAATAAAAAGAGAGAGAGAGACCTACAGGGAAAACGGACCTACCCACCTGAGGCTTCTCAATGCATCTGTAACACGGGGCGCCCAGAGCAGGACAGTCCACAAAGGCACCTCTGTCCCCGTTCCCCTGGGCCAGGAAGGGGAGCAGCAGGGTCCTACACGAGCCCCCCCAGTTTGCTGCGAAGGAAGACCAAGCCTTTCTCCAGCTGCCTCTCTCGGCCCTCCGGCTCCTCTAGCTTCTGATTCTTGCGGAACTCGCGGCGGATGGAGGCCAGGTAGAAGTCTCGGTCGGTGTAGCGCAGCTCTCGGCCCTGGCGCAGCAGGGCCCGGTAGAGACTCAGGACGGCCTGTCGGCTCCAGGGGGCCATGGGGGACTGGCGGGGGCCGGGCGTCACGCTGCAAACGCACAGACACGGGAGCCAGGTTCAGAACACTCAAACTGCAAAATTCCCACTTTTCCAAGTGGGGAGTTCTACATGCAGATACCAGAGACCCACAAGGCTACACAACTTAGGGTCAAGATGGGGAAAGACGCCAGCTTCTGGACCCCCCACCTGGGGAGGGCAGGGCGGCCTGGCCTTGATCCTGCCCGCGCCACTTCCAATGCAAAGGACGGTGACGCTGATGCGGCCACCGCACCTTCCACAGGGACCCTTGCCCTTGAGCAGCACCTGCAATCAGACTTAACCACAAGCAGTGGGTGACAGCAAGGACTGGGACACACCTGAATCCCGGCACTGTCGCTTACGGGCAGCTCAACCTCTCTCTCTGAGCGTGTCTCAGTCCCTCACCCGCAGGGGCGGGGAGCAGCTTACAACCCACTAGGTTGGTAAGCACATCGATGAGCTAATACACATGAAAACAACTGGAACAGCACCTGGCATAGCTAAGTGCTCCATCCCGTGTAGCTATTAGTCTGTCAGTGCTGGCTAAGCAAGGCACTGAGGGCATAGCAGGTTAAGCCAGAGCCTGCAGTGCCAGCACCCTATATGGGCTGCTCCACTATCGATCCAGCTCCCTGCTAAAGCATCTGAGAAAGCATCAGAAAATGCCTCATGCTCTTGGGCCCTTGCCACTCACGTGAGAAACTCAGAAGCGGTTCCTGGCTCTTGCGTGCCACAGCCCCGGTCGTGTGGCCACTGGGGGAAATGAACCAGCGGGTGGAGGATCTCCCGTCTCTCCCCTCTAACGCTTTCAAATAATCCTTGAAGACGCAGTTGGCACACACACTGCCTGTGTTATTACCAAGCCCTGGATGAGGTCAGGGTTCCGGGCCGGGCACTCAGGGCAGCAGCCCCAGCGCTGGCATCACCGCTCGTGTAGGGGCACTCGGGCTGCCTGCCAGCACACAGCGGGTTCACAAACACGCTCACTGCCAGGGGTCCTCACAGCGTCTCTCAGCGGAGGCAAGGGTCCCGGAACAGAGATGTGAACTGTGGGCCCTGCACACTCCCTACGTGAGCGGGAACACGGCCCCGCCGCCCTCCAGGCCTCCCCTGGCGGGAGAAAACCCACAGAAAACGCTCGAAAGCGACTGTCACACGAGGCCTGGGAACGACAAGGTCGCTCGGCCGGGACGCAGCTCCTCCCCCGGGACTCGGTGCGCCCTGAGCCGGGGTGCGCAGTTCCCGAGGCCGGCGCGGGACAAAGTTCAGGACGGGCCGGGGCGAGACTCCCGTCCGCGGGGCAGCAGCCCGGGCCCCGGCAGGAGGCCAGCCGCCGGCACCGGCCTGGACCGGCAGACGCCGCCCGGCAGCCAGCAGCCCTTCCCGCACTCACCCGCCACCACTCCTCAGCACTCCGCCTCTCGCCGGGCGCCGCTCCCCGGGTCACCCATCAATATGGCCCCTTCACTTCCGGGACGCGACCTTGAGGGCGGGACTTGAATGGGGATCGGAGGCGGCTAGGGGCCGAGAGACTTCCGGTCGTCCCTCAGCGCCCTCCCTCCGCCTTCCCACGAGGCTCCGCCCCCAGTACTGAGCCCCACCCTCCTTGTGTAACGTCACTCAGGGGCACGCCCACTTAGGGCACTCGGGCCCCGCCCCTCTGATCTGAGGCCCGGCCAGTACGTGCCGTCACTCAGGTCCCGCTCCCAGAGCTGGGCCCCGCCCCGTACGTGCCGTCACTCAGGGACACGCCCGCTTAGGGCACTCAGGCCCCGCCCCTCTGATCTGGGGCCCGCCCCGAACGTGCTGTCATTCAGGGACACTCCTGCCTAGGGCACTCGGGCCCGGCCGCCCCTGGAACTCCGGTCGTGGGCACCCAGTGAGTGTGACCCCGAGTGGGCTGAGGGTTCGAGAGGGGCTGCCCCACTATCCTGTCGGGGGAATCAAGGCCGATCCCTGCGCCGCCTGCTGGCCTCGGGCTGGGAATTCCGAGGCTAACATCACCTCAGATCCTCCAGCCTGCCCTGCTGTTCCGCCTCCCCGGTCCCTAGGCGCGTGAAAGATTGCTCTCTTTCCCTCAGGGTCTACTTGAGGAGCCCGCTGAGGCGGCTTTTCCAGGCCCTTCCCGGAACTTGCCAGGCACTGAGGGCCTGTCTGCAGAACCCAGAGCCCCTTCACGTTCCCGCGGTGCTCCGGGAAGCTGAGGGGGGTGCACCAGAGCTTCGGAGTCCCTCAGGCCCAGTGGTCCCCAGCCCTCAGGGCTTCAGGCCAGCTGCCCTCAGGCCAGCCCTGGGGGCTGCTCTGGTGGGGGCTGGATGAACAGCTATGAGGAATGGGGGTGCTGAGTGGTGAGAGGCCAAAGGGTGCTTTTTACAGGAAAGGATGCAAGAGTTGGGTCTGATGGGGAGCCAAGGACCCAGGTGGAGGAGGGGGTCCCTGGGTGCAGTGGAGCTGCTTGCAGGGCTGGGAGCAAGGGAGTCTTGAGACCTGACTCCCCTATGAGCATTTCTGGTTTTTTGTTTTTATTTTATGTTAGATGTTGTAGATTGACAAGGGTGCATGCCGACAAGGACCACTGATTAGGGTAAGGAAGGTTGAGATATGGGAGAAGAGGGACAAATGCTTCCAATAGTCCTTTTCTTCCTTTTTCTCCTGTATGGGGAGGGGGAAGGGACTGCTTCCAACTGCCAAAGTACCCAAGGATGGGGGACGTCCACCTGATGTCAGAACCCCAATGTCCTGGGGGTATTACTTGAGTGGTTTTGATAGTTCCGAGACACTATTGGTTTCATTGCTCCAAGGCTGAAAAAATCCTTCCAAGGTCCACTGACCGATGAGTCCACCCTAGTGCATCTGCTCACCCAGACACCGGCTGCCAAAGCTCAGCCAGGAGCGTTGTCCAACCTGTTCTACTCTCCATCTTCTTACATGGTCCTCGCTGTTCTCTGTAGATCCAAATGAGCTGGCCATCTTGTCCCCCATGTGCCATCCACTGTACAGGCATCAACAATCGAGGAGGCCCCAGTCCCAACACACGCACTCCAAGGACAGACCACAAATCCTGTGATTCTCCCTGTGCCCAGAGTGCTGAGTCCAGTGTTCCAGTTGAGGATTTCCCCCAAGAAGCCTTACCTGGGATGATCCCCAGACCTGATTCTTGCATGTGCCAGCTAGTACAGGGTCCACTTCAGTCTGTCACCCACATTGGTCCATGCTCACACTGGTGATTATAGTTGCCTGGTCAGTTCCATCCCAGCCTCATGTCCTATGCAAACCAATGGATACTGTGGCCCAGATCAACCCAGCATGCCCCAGAACTGGCCCTTGCACATACCAGTGGGAACTGCAGCCTATTTGGGTAATCCCCAATAATCCCCATGATGCCCACCCCAGCCCTGGTTCCTGCACCTGCCAGTATGTAGAGCAGACTAGTCTGGTTTATGCCACATCCCAGTTGGGATCTTATATACACCTATGAGTGTTGCAACTTAGGTCAGCCCTACCCTACCACGACCCAGTCCACATGTATGCAAAGATTGGTGCTGCCACCTTGTCCCGCCTGGCTTACCCCCAGCCACAGATCTTGTGCGTACCACTGGTTACTCTAATCTAACCCAGCATAGCCCATCCCGTCTTGGGCCCTGCCATCAGATACCACAGCCTGGCCTGGCCCACTCCTAGCCCCAACTTTCACTGGCGGGTTCTGTGATAGAGCCCTATCAAGCAGACTCTCTAGCTCTAGATTTCGTGTGCACCAGTCAATGATAACTTAGCCCAGCTCAGCTCTCCCACATGGGCGGGTACAATAGTCTAACCTGGAAAGGTTTTCCGGTTTCTCTCCTCTAAATTATGCAGTCTCCGCCCCCTCATTTCCCTGTAAGCGTAGTGGCCTGGTTGGTGGAAGTCCCCCAGGAGTCAGTCTCACCTGCAAGGGTCTCCCTCAGTGTCTCCCCTCCCACACATTCCCATACCCACCCTCCCTGAGCAATCTACAGCAGGTGCAGACGCCTGGGGAATAAACTAAGGCACGGGAGAACTCCTTCCCTCCTCCTTTGCCTCCCCCTCCCTCTCCTGCTTCCTCTCCTCTCCCTTTATTTCGGCCTCCCTCTCCCACTCTCCGGGGAGTTTAGCAATGATCTCCCTCCCACCACTCACATGGAGGCAGCACCCACACTGGAGCCCCCTTTATTAAACACTTACCATAGGCCAGAGGTTGGACTTGCTGCTTTGCAGCTGTGTTATAGTTCATCTCGGGGTCCCTGCAACCAGGCATCAAAGCCCTACTTTCGTAGATGAGAAAGCCAAGACCAAGATTAGCTTAGTGATGGCTCCACGGTGCAGTGCCAGCCCATGGGGAGGCTCTTGGGGTGGGGGAATCTGACTCTGAAACATGCATCCTTTGCACTCCTCCTGGCTGCCCTACTTTGCTCTTTAAAGAAAGCGTGTAATGACCTAAATCCATCTCACTGGTGACATTCCAAGCCGGAAGCTGAGGAGATCTTCCCTATCCATTTAGAAGGGCAGGTCACAGGGTCCACCCTTCCGATGAGCACCCCCAAACTCCTCAGGGTCTTCATTGACAGTCTCTCCCCAGCCCCCATGTGCCCCATGGTCGTGAGGGTATGCAGCAACACCAGAGGCCAGCACCTAGCAATCTGAGAGCCCACAGAGCCAAAAGAAAGGGGTTGGGCCTGCCAACCCTAGGATGAGCCACAGTTCTGCCCCGCGGTTCAGAACCGCCCTCAGGCTTCTCCTGCTGAGCTTACCGCAGGGATCCCTTGGCCCCTGAAGCTGAAAGCTGATGTCTCAGAGCTGCTTTTCGCTGTACCTGCTATGGCAGTCACTGCTCGGCCCAGCCTCTTCTGATGGGCCCCCACTCACCTTCACAGTCTGTGTCATGGTCTGGGTCGGCTGTGTCCAAGCCAACAGCCTTTGCGTCACCTGCGTCTCCAGCCCAAGGAGATGGGACGAGGTAGCACAATAAGCAGGGGAGATCCCCTAAAGTTTATCAGGAAGTGTGGCATTGTGGTGACAAGGAGCCATGGGTTGTTTTGGGGCCCTGGATGTGGCTGCTCACAGTGCATCTTGCACAAGGGCACCACCCCCAGGGCCACGTCACAGCCTCAAGGCGCTCCATCTCTCAGGGGAGTGCTGCCCGTCAACCTGCTGAAAGCCAATGCCACGCCACTTCTCCCGTGGCTGGACACATGTATTTTGGAGAGGGGACGTGCCTTCCCTACTTGCACAAAAGCCCATGTGGGCTCGTGGCCACCCTGTGTGGAGAATGGATCAGTCATGCCTAGAAGAGGGAAAGGGGAAGGCAAGGAACGGTTCTGGCATTTCCAGGGTGGACACAACAGCAGGGCGGTAAGCTGAGCTGCACCAGCCCAGCGGCCAAGATACCCATGTCCTCCCTCGGGGTCCAGCCCTGGCTCCTGAGCCCAGCCTCCTGCTAATGCAAACCTTGAGCGGCAGTGAGGATGGCCAAACACACAGGTTCCTACCCATCCCTGGCTATGGGGCACACACTGGGGAGTGCGCCAGCAGAGAGGAGCCGTGCCTCTGTGTGTCTTTCTAGAGAAACAGATGGGGCATCTTCCCGAGTGATGTTGAGAAGACCCCTAGAATGGCTTAGATGTGCCGAGTGGTGACAAGGCTGCACACTCCTGGGCCTCGCTGCTGTGTTAGCACTCAGCCCTCAGATCCCCTCACGCTTGGTCACAGGTCCACTCGCCTTGTCTTTCCTTCCTGGCTAGGGGGTGGGGATGGGGGGGTTCCTACCAGCCTGCTGAACACCAGAAATCGAGGAGACCCTCTCTAATGACCAGCTAGCCCCCCACTGGGAGAGCTGCTCTCCCACCTTCTCACGTCAGACATCAGAGGAGGAAAACGTGGGCCAGCAGGAATGCAGGCAGAAGCTGGCCCGAGGTCACTGCAAACTGTCCAGTGAAGCAGAAGCGATGCCATCTGGGCCCATACACGGAATCTTCGCAGAGCATGGACGCCCTGCCTGGCTGCTGCACACGCTGCTGGCATCTCATTCAGTGCTAGGAGAGGGGGCTCTGCCCAGGGCCTGCCAGAGGGCAGGGGTCCTCAGAGCTAGGCTGAGCATATCTTGTGTGGGGGGGGTGGGGTACAGACAGCCCTGTGAACTATTTATAACAATACAGATGTGAGGCCCTGGAGAGCAGTTACCAAGGCAGGGCCAGGTACTGGGGGCACATTAGCATGAGTCCGTGTTCAGTGGGAATGGGGCCCTGAAAGATGCTGGGCACCCCGATACGAGGAGACACACAACCTGCCCATCTTCAGATTTCAGCCATTCTAGAACAAATTCTGGAAGCTTAATTTTCTCATCTGTAAAAAAAGGAGTTGAGTGGCCAAACTTGTGGCACAGGGGTAAAGCTTCCACCTGCCTACGCTACAATCCAATGGTCACCGGTTCAAGTCCTGGCTACTCTACTTCCCATGCA